TGCTGAACCTGAATGTCCTGAGGAGGCTTTGTGCCACAGATGACATTATATATGCTGCTCCCTGCCTTGCCTTAGCTATAGAGAGTGAGGCTGAAGGAAGACATTATAGCTGGATTACTATATGCTGTGCTGTTTGGAGCTCAGAATTGAATATAATAAACTTGGGTGTTTCCCATTTGCACCACTGAAGATGCTGGCTGCAGGAACAGGGACCTCACAGCCTTGACAAGCATATCTCAGACACATCATGGAATCACTTGGAGTATTTCCAGGCAACCATACAGAGGTACCTATATTCCTTATTCTACTCTTTCATGAACTGCTTACGGAGAATTAGACTGGTAGAAATCAGTCTGGCAAAGTATTCTGGAACACTATATTTTAATGGAAAGACAGTCTACTACAATACTTGCTCAGTCACTTTTTGGAGAGTAAACGTAGCAGAGGTATTCTTCAAAAGCTGCTGCTCTTTGCACTTAAATCTAAGTTCTGTCTGTTCTCTGCACCATCAGAGATTTGTGGTCTGCATCTGTTTGGAGGCTCTCGCTTGCATTAGGATTCCACCGTGCTGTGTGTTAGTCAGCCCTTCACAACTTCCAACTCTGAACGTACATCTGAACCCAACATCCATCAAGTTTCATCAGTGCATGCTAAGGGCAAAGAGGTCTTTGCTAATGGGTCCTACTGTGGGATCTGATCTTCATCCATATTTGATTTGTTTTCCCATCTGCAGATTTCCAAGAACAAAGAGGGAAAATAATTTATTACTCTGAATATCTGCCCCATTCTGATTAATCACGCCCATGACGCATGTAAAGACTTCTTGGGAGCACTATTTGTTGCTATCACTAAATCTTAGCTGCGGTCTTTTCTAGAGCATTTCAAACTGTATATACACTTCACAGTTCGGCTTTCCTGTTGCTACCATGTGTTAGCAATTAATGCACAATAAACAAGCAGACGGTTGTTCCATTTCCAGGGAATAAAATCTCCAAGGATATAAAATGGAATAGAAACTATCCATCCTTCCCCATAACCTCAGAGTTAAAAATAGAGCAAGCAATTAACTCCCCAAACGCACTACGTGATTTAGGCCATAGTTAAAACAGCCACTTCGATTTGGCATATGCTTTTACTGCTCCTGAAGTCCTGTCCTCTCCTTACCCTTAACTATTCATTCCCCACTTCTCCTTGGTGTTAGCACAAGAGTCCAAGCAGTGCTATGATAAGGTGGGCCAAAGAGAAGTCTCTACCAAAACCAAGTGTTTTTTTGCTTAGCTTAGCTTTCGGCTGGGTCAGCCCCCTTGATGTGACTCATTGTAGTACCACATAAATGCCAAAGGAGGAGAGGGTAAGATGAGGTGAGGATTGCATAAGCTGGTGTGACTGCCAAAGAAACACTCATGCAACCACAGCCCCAGTCCTAGTCTTATTGCTGGGGGCAGAAGTGTGAGAGGGAGCCTGCTTTCTCCGCTGACTTGTTCTCTGTCGCTCCCTTTGGCAGTGGCAGCCTCCCAAGTCCTCGGGGTCTGGAACAGCTTCTCTGCGTAGCAGGATTGCTAAGAGGCGCTGGGAAAATCCCAGCAATGCAGCGCTAACAATCAGTGCTTGTAACAGGACACATACAATCAAAGGACATTTCTCTGATCCGATGCGAGGCAAGTCAAGTTTCTGCTTTGTCAAGATGCTGTCGTTGCTTCCCCAATTCAAGGGCTGAAGGAAGAGGTTATAGGGTTGAGAAAATGGACCCTGAGAAGATGAGGAAGAGGGCAAAATTAAAAATCGTAACATTTCATTACACTCTCACCTGCAAATCTTTTCCCTAAGCAGATCCTGTGCTCAACAGCCAGAGGTCACTAAAAGATGAGGATTTTCCTGTTGCCTGCAGTGAACTTCACTTTGAGCAGGAAAAATGTCAAACGGAGCTGGCTGGCTTGTGGTTTGCGTCTCTTTCAAGCTCTGTATTGCCCTTTGTTCTGCAGGAAACGTAACTTTGGAAAGCCAAGAGAGACCTGGGGGCTGCCCAAATGGTTTGATAAACACTGACTTAAAGGAAGTGCATTTGCCTACTTGACTTCTTTTGAAATGTCACTAAGGCACCCATTATTTCTGCTCACTGCAGTATTTCATTTTATCCCTACCTGTTACAAAGCCGCTACTCTCAATATGGCTTGTGTTACAGGAAGGAAAGTGTAACTGGTTGAACAGACTCGAGAATCACCTTGCTCCCAGGAAGGTATCTCAAATGAGCGAAAGTGATGCTGCTGAAAGTCCTGCTGCATGCTGTTTATAAGCAAACTGATGCTGGACTGACAGTCCTTATACAAGACTGCTTCTCTTATTTAATGGTACCTTACAGAGTCAAGGAAAAGCAAGTTTAATATAACCAATCTAGAGCTTTCTGTTTATCTATACACTCCTCAGACTGACAAAACTACTAGTATACTACCTAAATGTACTTCACCAGTCACATCTTTAAAACAAAACTACTCCAAAAGCAGGACTGTATTATCATGTCACTTGCTTTACACTAATTTTATTAAAAAGCTAGAAAACTGCAGCAGACACCTTAAAAATCTGTTCTGTGATGATCTTATGAGAGCTGATGTATGTACAACTGTATGTCTATGCTTGATTCAGAAGCAGACTGATGACTGTGTGTTTATGCCTTGTGAGATGTTCAGCTGGCCAAAAAAATTGCACTGTACATGTAAACCACAATAACTTTGTAAAGGAAAACTCGCACAATGTGCCCCATATAGTTAAGACCAATTTTGCACTGTTCTTACTTGCACTTGCTTGGAACAGTTTTAACTACACACGCTCTCCATTCCCTAAAAACCACCTTTCTACATCCAGCCTGTCTCTGCACCTTAAGGAGTGTAGCTAACAGGCTACCCTGGCTCTAAACAAGCTGATGCTTTCCTCACACTGGGAGAATGTTCAGCTGTCCATGTCCAGCAGATTTACAAGCCTTCTGTGTCAATCTGACAACTCCAAAAGACTTAGGCAGGGAAAAGATTTAGCCCTATAAATACTATTATCTGAACTTCTCTTTCCACTGGCTACAGATGAATTCAGTGTAAAAGAAAAGCACAAAGCGCATAGTTAAAACTGGAAAAAATACAGAGTTGGGTTTTCAGAAGTGCTCTGCGTTTGTCTAGTCCTGCTCTAGTGTGAGCAGGTTAAGCCCTGTAACTGAGCACTTTTGGAAGTCGAAACATGAGTGTTCGCTGAGGCTCCGGAGTAATTGCTTCTTGGAGGAAGATGGTACGTACGTTAAAATGTATTACATGCCACATAATAAAAACCGAGGTTGTGCTTTTTTGCAGGTCTCATGGTATGACACTCAGCTGTTTTGTTCTGCACAGGTCCCCCTAACTGTTCACTTGGTTTTGATCCATCTGGATTTTCACCACAGAATTTTGCTTTGAGTTTCCAGTTTGAATACAGGAAAGCTCTGCCAAAACCACATCACATTCAAACCACAGGAAATCATGAACTTGGCACTGTTTTGACATGGAAGCTGTAAACAGTGTGCAGGTTCACTCAAAACTGGATCACTGTCCTTTGAGTTATGAAACACAACAAAACTTCCAGCAAACCAGGTCAGAATTCTGAATTACTAAAGCAAGGAGAAATTACGTGACTTCTGCATGGATCATGATTTTGTTATAAATATTTTCCCCTAGTTTCTTTTCCTTTAGCTATAAACATACTATGTGAAAGAATAAAAAGAGAAGTTGGGTTTCCTCCTTTCCAAGTTTATGTTAAAACAGCATTTAGCTAATTCTTATAGCTCTTAACATACACGTATCCTATTAAAGACAAGGGTAATTTCCTATTGGCAGTCTTGAGCATGAATAACTGTCAAAACCAGAGTTATACTGAAGGTATGAATAGGGTTTAGTTTTATGTGCAAAATGATACGTAGTCAACTTACAGCTAACTTACACCACTGTTACGGGTGCAAGCCTCCCATTTAAAATCCGCTAGATTTTCAGCTGCCAAACACTGGATTTTTTTCCCCCAGAATTCCCGTTAGCAAACCACAAGAAACTTTTATGAAAACGGAAAAGTCTAAAGTATGATTTTTGCCTTCAAAATAAACACTGCCCTAAAGAAACACATATTTGTAAAGAAGTCACAAGTTCATTGACGATGAAAGGAAAACAACCTAGATTTCCAGACCAAGACTGAAAACAATCCAGATTCCAAACCTACCCAAGCCAGAAGTTTGAATGCAGAGCTATGTGAAGGTGGTTTGACTGAAGTCAAGCAAATAGGAAGCAAAATGTAGTCATGCAAAAGAAGATCTATATTACAGCACTGCCTGCAAGTAAAAGGCAGTTTAATCTTGCTGAATTTCATTTTTACCAGATTTCTAAACCGGGCATTTGGAATGTCAGAAAAACTCTGCAGGGATCCATAACACACAGAACCATACATCAGACATATCTGACCTGTCATAGAGTTTTCGGATGTACATAGTTGCTCTCTCAGCTTTTCCACATCGTCTGGATGAACCTGTTCATACAAAGTGCTGCCAAACCATTCAGACTGTGGCTGGTTCAGCACAGGAGTCACAGAATCCGACACGTAGATCACTCTTCCCGTCTCAGCTGCAACTACAAACAGGAACCCATCTGCAGCCTCCAGGATAAGATGTTTCAGTTCCTTCCAAAGAAAGGATTTGATTAGAATGCCAGCAGAAAAGGGAATTACACATCTGTCACTGCCAAAGAATATTGTTTTCTTGTGATCTTAGTAGCTGATCACAACCTAGGCAGAAATTTTCACTGTAATATTGATACAACACCACAACCAAACTTGCAGCAAGCCATAAATTGCTAATCTTAATAACAAACAACACTTTGTTTTCCTTTATTGCCTTCATCTGGTGATCTCAGTGCACTTTAGGAAAATTAAGTAACATACTCACTGCATATTGTGTGATAGGCATCTAACATTAAAAAATAAAAAGTTATTTCAGAGTACAAGCAGAGGAAATGAACAGCTATAACTCATATGGCAAACTCATCCCTTAATTAAACGTCCTGAATAATTTAATTGGAGAGAAACCAACAAGTCTTTCTGGTTTTTGGGGTCTTTTTTCCCCTCAGGATGAGCTCTGTTTGTAAACTAAACAGCCACTGATAAAAGGCAGAACATGTAATGGGAACAAGGACAGGAATCCCCTGCCTCCCCTCCCATTAGGGTGCCCAAGCCACTACACAAGAAGGTTGTATCACTTCTTGCTTTCTTTTTCCAGACTGTGAATATGAAGCCTCAGAGATCCAAAGGGTGTGGAACACCCCTGTCTTTGGCGTTTTCTTTACACAGTGCCCTGCTCATCATCCTGGGTACTTCTGTCCTGAGACACCCACACATCCACCTGAGATGCAGCACCCAGAGCCCTGACCCCACCTGGGGACTGGAAGGGGGACCGTAGGCCTATAAAGCAGGGTATTTCTGTCCCTCACTTTCAGCCACTGGGTCCAGACACCCAATACCTTGAATCACACATGCAAACAGCTGCTTGCATGCATGACAGAAACGGTACCTTTGCTTAACAGAGCTTGAAAACCTCTCACAGGAAAGGATGACAACTACCACTCCAGTTCCTGGGAAACAAGCTCAGACAGCCTTGGCTTGGTGGCTCCAGTGACCACCAGAGCTTGTTAAGGTAATGCATCTGGAACTCAGAGCGTTTTGGACAATCTGAGTCCCATTCCATGTTAGACAGCTCAGCACGGCTAGTGTGCAAGTGGCAGATATTAGCTGATAAGGTGAGGATCACAACCCGGTAAATTCTGCCTAAGAAATGGATAACTCATCTCAAGAAACACTTAACAGACCATCAACTTCTGCCTCTTTATTGTAGACAAAGCATATCAATTCTGAAACACTTACTATATAAAAAACCTCACTGCATAGCTGGCTGCACTATGCAGAGGATAATGAGACCTGGTCTGCATACATTATTAACAAAGATGAAGATAAACTCTGTCACACTGCAAGGTTCAAAAAAAACCCCAAAAAGTTGCAATGGGAAGTGACCAGAGTCCCCTACCAACAACCAGCTGAATGGCACAGTCCCTCCAGAAACACACTTCAGGAAAGCCAGAATAAGTAGATGTGAACACTGAGAGGTCAGCAGCAGCTGCTGTTTCTCTAATAGAAAGAAGTATTGCCTCTAGCTATAACTTACATGTGTAAGTGCTTAAATCGTTCAGACCACAAAAATGCACACTACACCCATAGGACTTCAAAAACAATGAAGGTGGTAGGAATTTCCAGTGCACTCAGTTAAACACGGTTTTTCTTTGAACACTGGGTGCATCTTCCTTCTCCCATCAAAAACATAACCAAAGAAGTACCTCAGCCAGTACAGATGGGATTCATCTCTGCCCAGTTCAGCTGCCGGGAACTTAGGCATTGAGACTAAACAATGTTTTAACCTTCCTCTAAACCCAGGAGGGAGAGGCAGGTCTTTGAGATTCATTTCTCCCTATTTTAGAGAATCTTTGTTAGGATGGGAAGAACCCAGTTCTGGAGGTGAAAATTCCTTTCCAGTGACGAGACAGCAAGTGACTTGCTTTTCAGATGGACAGACCTCAATGATAAGAATGCCCATTTTGCTGCTTCAGAGAGAAAGATTTGTCATATAGTTAAGATCAAGTCCAAACAGTCACAAAAAAATTGTCTGTATTCAAATCTTGGATATGTAAGTTGTACCAGTTACTACACAACAGTGAAGGATCAAGCTGAGACTCCACTCCTCTCAGCATTTCCTCACATCTTTTAAGACCACAAACCAGAGAAAACAGACATTTGCGAAAAATCTACCTGTTCTGTAAGAAACGAAGGCTTGTAAGCTCCATCAGTAGATTTGTTTCCAGTGCCCCTCATTGACTTCATGTGTGAAACAGCCATCCGAAGAATGGTCAGCTTGTCAGGCTTACGAGCCAATGCACTACAGGTGGGTACCATATCAGACAGTTCAGTGATGTACTGTGTCATCTTATTTCTCCTGCGTCTCTCAATTTCACTATGATTCTCCCTGAACGTTTAAAGAAACACCAAACCAACAGAAAAGCAGATATGATCAGTGTAAGTATTTCAACTGGAGGTAACGAATCATACTACGTTGCACTTGTTTTGCTGTTTTCACCCCAGGAGAGCTAAGTGCTTTACCAAGCTAAGCACTATTATCCCTCAGTTTATAGACAGAAAATCCAGGCAACAGAAGGATAAATATGATTCGCCCATAGCTGTGAAAAGAACCCACATTTTTCTAGCTATTGGCTTCTGGCCTTAATATCTTAACCAGTTTAACCTCCTTTGGTTTAAGGACAAAAAATGAAGTAGAAAGATGTAAGGAACTGACAACCGCCAACTCCAGCCAAACTCCCAAAGTTGCTGTGATGCATCTCACAGCTTCCAGTCCTTGCTCAAGGTGTGTTGGATCGACTTATAAAAGGTCCCTTTTTAGAGGAAACCTCTCACTAACAGCTGGATCAGGTCAGCATAAGTGTCAGTGCTGACTTACAAAAAAAACCCCCACTCAATGATAGCACAGATCTCCAGTCCTATAATGCTGTGTGGAAGGTCCCACATCCCTGTAGGGAGACACTACATGCCTACAAGATCAGACTGCAGGACTAGGACAGTATAACAGTACATACAAAAAAAAACCCAGTAAATAAATAAAATGAGTATGAAAGACAGCAAGTAAACATCTGGCTTGTCAGACATAGATCAGGATTAATATTTGAGAACAGGGAAATAACAATGACAGTACTTGATGCTGCCCCACTTTGGGCTGAGCTCCAATGTTCTCATTCTTTATAGAAAATACATGACTGAGGTAGTGACTCAAATTTGAGAATTCTCAAAATGGACAGTCACCAAAATCTTTCATAACTGAGGATCTGGGAGTTCAGTTTTCCCATACTTTAAATCACCATTGCTTGATCACTACTGAGGGATTACACCAATATATCCATCTGAGATGGTCCAAATGAACCTAGAATACTTCAGTGCCTAGCGCTTATTTTTCCCATACTGTACCTGTCAGGTGGCAGCTAAATACAAGTACACGACAGGTACATGATGCTTCAGATGTCAAAGCAGCATCTTCCATTGATTTCAATGAGCCGTGCATGGCATTTTCTTGGGGGATCGCTGGCTGATCCAACAACATGTGAAAGGTGATCATTTGGAGAGTCCACCAGCATTGACCGTCATGATAACACAACATTAAAAGAAACCGCAACATTCTTTGGAGCTGACTGTTATGAAGACTGATCATGAAAGTAGAAGCTAGGCTTGGCACACTTTCTGGCTACTGTTAATAATGGACCCTTTTCTTAAAATGCAGGAAAGAATCCAAGTTGCAGTATGCTGCTTCCTGAAATAGAGGAATGCATGGGCTTGCCCTGCTTTACAATGTGTTTCCCAGCCCTGCACACTTAGGTGTCATATGCATGAGGCACTGTCTCCAGAAATATCACTTGGTAGGGTTACATGCACAGTTATTATTCCTCCTGATGCCTATGCTTACTGCACTGATATTCAGGAAATCCAGCTATAGGTCCCTGCAATGATAGCCCATGGTGGTTTGGTAAATTAGACAGTTTCTTGGTTAAGGTCACTATCTACTTACCTACGTATTACACCTTAATAGTGAACCTTTCCATTTCAAATGGCCGATAAACAGCCTTTGTGCAGGTCTGCACAGGTGCAGGAGGTAACAGCGCCTTCAGGAGTCGGACCATATACGCAGGCACAAGCAGAACGGCTTGTGTGAGAGTGCACATGTACATTAAGAGCACACGTGTGTACATGTCAGCATATACATGCAGATAAACATGGACAAGGGGAAGAATAATGCATTTTTACATGATGAAACCTTGCTCTAAATTCAGCATTTTCAGAGAAATGGTGATCAAGAAAAGAGAGACAAAGAACACAAACATCCATCACATTTTACATTTATAAATACATATTCCATTGCCTGCCACTGAAGTATTTTAATACTCCTCAACACTAAAAACAACCATTATAAAGAGTAAACAAAGAGACTGCAAAATTTCCTGAGAAGAAAGAGAAGAATAGCCAACAGTCCATTTTATTTATGATCATAAAAGCTAAAAAGTAATAGTATGTTAATCAATTGGCCACGAAAACATTCAAGCAAACAGAATCCTGAAACTTTCCTGACACTAGTTCAAATTTAAACCCTTAGAAACAAAAAGAGGGGCCTTGCTCCTCTTCCAGAAGTGTCTGCCCTAGGAACCCTGGCATTCATAAACATGTATACAGAATGATGTCCTAATTCTGTCTTTTCTAACTTTGTTTTTATATGGAAATTTTGGAGGGACGTTAAATTTTGGGAGACTGCAGGAGCTGATCCAAACCCACTTAGATTTAGAGTTAGTATGTCTGATTTCAAGCATTTCTGGATCAGCCAGCCCTCCTGACTTGTGACCAGTCAGAACGGCATCATATAAAATAAAAATGGGGGCAAACCATATTTGATTTTCCTTTTTCCTACCTGGCCATCCTTTCTGTGTCAGCAGTACTTTGATCATCGTCCCACCTAGAAACAAAATAACCAGCTCTCTAAGCTAAGGTACACGTACTGAGATTTTTTGGACACGACCATCCCCCTCTTTTCTCTCAGCAGAAGAGCTCTACAGAACACGCCTACCTTGCAAACTTTTCCTTATCACCAGAGATTTGATCACCATCATACCTAGAAACAAAGGACAGTAAGTAAATTCACAAGGGTTATACATCGCATGATACTCAACACACAGCAGAAAGCAGAGAGGTTCACAACTGCAAACTATTACAAATAACAGCAAGAAAAATGAGGGCATGAGAACGACAAAGCAAAGAAAACGCAGAGTCTGACAAAACTTCCAAGCCATGCTGATTCAAAAGCTCCATTTGTATATTAAAAAAGTTGGAGACACATTTCAGTGGATTTATGCAAACACTTTCACATACACTCATTGCTTGGAAAACTTAACAACCAGCACCATTACAGAAAACACCACTGAGCTTTTATCGACAGCAGCCCATGAAATATTCATTGCTGTGTTGGAAGTGAAAGAGCTGTATCTTTTCCAGATTGCAACCCGCTCCATTCAGCAGAGGGCACTGATGGTCTACAGATAACATGGGAGGGCAGAGACACACGCTTAAGTGCAATGCCTTATTTAAAGATGGCTTCAGAAAAAAGCTCTAGTAGGTGCAGACACTGTGCTGTCTGTTGGTCAGACTGGCAAAAGTCAGTCAGGCAGATAAAACTGCTGGGTAAATAGAAGTGAAATTAAAACTGGCTTAAATCCCTAGAAATAAACAGGTACCTCATTCCTACTCAAATCAACAGAAGTTAGATGCCCTCCCAGGTACATACAGTGTATCGGCAGCAACTTTACGGAGGAAATCCTGATGAGTGGGACTTTTGCCCATGGGGTTAAAGCTTCACTGTGTCTGAAGCGTGGTCCCAGAGACAGGCAGCAACACAACATTTTGCTAAAAAATGACATGCTGCTCCTCCCTTCCCTTTCCTAAAAACATACTAATCCTTTGAAATTAGTTTTTGCTAGAATAATTAAAAAAGACACATTTTTTGAAAACAATCTTACTTTTGGAGAAACCAAAATGCTTGCTCCAAAACAGAAAATGTAGGTTTTCAAAAATACAAAAATAAGGCTAATGGCTTTTCTAGATTTGAAGATTATTACTGCTCAAGAACAGTCAAGTGATATTTTGTATTAGAATTAGCTTTTCCAAAATGATGTAATTTATTACAAAAGAGCCTATGAAGCTATGAAGCTTCTATGTATTAGCTAACAAGGTAATGCAGCATAATTAAGCATCTTTTTTCTTCTAAAAAGCTAACAATTAACTTCTTCCTTTTTTTCTTCTCAAATGAATTAAAACTAATTTTAAGTACCGCAACCGTGCAAGTTCCTCTATAAGGCTTCATATTTTCCTTCCCCAGTAAGACTCATTCAAACTCTGAAGAGAAAGCTTAAGTGAGACTTGAGCTGTATTTCTTTCTACGTTGTGTTTAACACCAACACCCTCAAAACAATTAAATGAAAATGCCACTTTCTTCCACTTGACCCTGCCCAGAGAACAGACTGAGCCCAAAAAATTTTAAACAAAAAGACAGATTCAATGAGGAATGGCAACATGCCGTCATGTGAGAAGTACATGCATACGCCTCCATGTGACAATGAGATGCCATGCAGAGATACCTGAGCTGGCTTGGAAGTCCCTGAGAAGCAAGGTATGTTAACTCACGTGGAGTACCACACTAACACCACTATCTCCTGTGCTCCCACTACCTTGGGGCTTGTCTACTCATCCTTGTCTGGTTGGCTGGGCTGAAGATGTTATTGCCTCCAACTACTGGTTTCTCCCTTCCAGTCTCCTAGCCGACCTCTCTGCGCACATGGTTCTTCAGGCACTTCAGTCAAAGCCAGCTGGGTTAGCTTAAACATTTAAACAGCAGTTCTTTCTAACCGAGTAATTTTGACTGAGAGAAGCTAGGAATCAGCCACATGAGCAATTTGGAGAAGGGAAAAGTCCTACAAGGAGGGCATAACTAGAAGAGGATGTCTGACCATGGCCCTGGGTGTCTCTGCACTGTCTTTCTGTACTCTCTAAAAGCACAGCAATCTGGGGTTTTTACAGCATTTAAGATTTAAATACCAAATTTTGATCTGACATCTAAAATCAACTGAGTCTAAGCACAGCACAGCATGCCTCTCCAATAAAAATAATGGAACTATTGGCTGTCCCCACCATCAAACTTTGAAAGGCTGAAGGCAGGATGGAGATAGACCAATGCACGTGCACCACTGTGCCTAGAAACCCTGACGCTTATGCAGGCACAAATCAGGTCACATTCATGATAAATCTTGTTCCCTTAACATGTATCTGCTCGCAAACATCTGATTAGCCCTCAGATCACCAGTTTTAACACCAGAGACTGGAATATCCTTTCTGTAAATGACATCAGCTAAACAGGGGTGCTGCTGGTCTTGTCCAGTAGGTTATGATACGCTGTTACAGCCCATCTTCAGCATACTTATCTTTCAGACTGACTAGGAAAATCTTGTTAAAACCCTACGGTGACAGCTGTGTTTGAACATGGCTGCTGCTATAGAGCTGCAGTTACAATCTGGATAATCAACAGTTATCTGTAGGCCTCAAAGTATCTACCCCTCACTGCAGCTGCTTGGTTTCTAATGAAAAAAATGCAAACTGTGACCAGAAAAAAAGGAAAAGTGGAAAAAATGGCAATGATGCTTCAATGTTTGTTTTTATTTCTAGCTTAGAATATTCCACATTAATTAACATTTATTTTGGCAATTTTTACTATTCAGTCACACCTAATGGTACATAATGGGCTTTAATCTTAAAAAAACAACCCACACCTCTAGGATCTGTCATATTGTCTTAACAAGCAGTTAACATCTGAAATAAATTCAAAATAAAATTAATTTTCAGTGGCAGAAAGACAACTTCAGCAATGCCAAATAACCGAAGTTCATCTACAGCAGTTGAAACAATAAGCTAAAAATCACAAATAAGCTAAAAATCACAAATTTTCTCATTCAACATAGCTGCAGAGCGAAATTATGACACACACACTGTCAGCTTTGTAAGCCAATAACTACATTAGGCAGATTTCTGCCAGGATGCTTAATTTGCAGAGGAAGCTGATAAAAACAGTAACTAGAATTTAGGTCAAGTTGTTGGCAAGTTCTTCAGCCCATATTCATATTGACTTTAAACACCGGTAGTGAGACAGCTGTCTTTCTCCACTGAAAGAAGTCAGAGGTTTGGCCAACTTTGTAAATGCTCACCTTGAAAATTTGCTGGGCCCCTCCCCATCTTCATCATCGAAGTCCATTCTGTAAAAGCAAGATTTCCAAATCAGTAATCATGATGCTGGCAATGGTAACATGAACATTCAAGCCAGCGGTTCTCAACCTTGTTTGATTTATATTTTGACTGGCGGTGTTATCAACTGTAGATTCCAGTCTTGCTCATATTCTCCAGACCCCCTAAAAGCAGCTCATCAGCTGCCAGGAACACAAAGAATATAAGTTTTAAAAAAAACAAAACAAAACAAAACAAAACGAAAGGTAATAAATCAGTGTTCTGCTCCACAGAAACCTGCACTATTAAAATTAACAAAAGGAAATATTAAACAAATGCTGTTCTTGTGAGACGGTCAGAAGTAATACTTCTTAGGCCTGATAGAAGTTTACAGAAATCAGTGGGGACTCTATGTTACAGGACTGAAATTAAGGCTAAAGAAAACAAAGTTCTAAAGCTGTACACATAACAAACACGGGGCCACTATTTTTGCCCCAGTCTAAAGAAAGCACGTTAGAGGTAGAGCAGAATAAAATCCCAGCCTCCCTGCTACGTCACCATTATTGATTGTAACTGCGGTACATTCTTTAGACTTGCTCTACATTGCCAATCATTTGACACAAATTACCAGCCAGCCTGCAGATGGCAACTGCTTTGTGGTATTCCTGCGGTCATTACTAAAATGACCTATGGGTCTACTGTGCACCTAACTTACCTGGTTTTTGTCCCAGACCTTCTTCTTAAGTCAGTGGAAGAGACGAGCTCTTCCTTGGGCCAAATCCCAGCCCTCCAGTTAGGCTCCTCCAGGGAGCCAGAAAAAGCAGGAACCTCTTTCTTCACTTCTTACACAGAGAGAGACTAGGAAGATTAACTTCCTAAATTAGCCACCTAAATTAGTTTCCTATGTTAGGCAGTGTGATTGTCTCCTTCCCATTGATATTAAGTCACTACAAGTTATGCAACAGTGTAATTTCCAAAGCATTTTATAAATTTTTACACCTTTAAAAAGAGGTGGACAAATACATATCCCAATTATAAGGCGGTGACTCTGCCATTAAGGCAGACTAAGAACCAAGCTGATATAAAATTATAATATACAATTATTGTATTAGTGTATTTATTTTAATAAGAAAATACATTAGTATGATACACAGACCTTGATCAGTCATTAAATGTAATTTGTGTAGATAGGAAATCATAGTTTTGTTTTGCAAACAATTTTGTCGGGTTTCTTTAACGCCCTAAGCTTTCTAACATTTCAGTGTAATAAAACTTCATACAATTACAGATTCCATCTCTCTAACACTCTTCATATTAACAACAGATATAAGTCATGTTAAAGGCAAAAACCCTGCAAAGTGACAACAATATTTATCTCAGTATTAAAAGAAACTCCTACCAATTAAAAATTAAGATTTGTATGTTCAGAGTGTGGGAACAGTGACTTAAAAATGCTTGCTAAAACTACATCGGCATAGAGAAGTACGAGTGCCCGTCAGGCAATACCGCCTTGCTTCCTGACTCTGATAACCAAGACAGACTGGTCTATAGGAGACGCGTCCGAGTTACAGCAATCTACGTACAATCAGGACAAGGGCAACAAATAAGCAAAGGAACTGGAAACGGTATTAGAAAAGTCACAAGAATATTTTCCAGACGGTAACGGTGATTGCTCATTTCTGGAGGAAGCAGAAGGAAAACCATTCTACCCGGAGTCTTAAGAAAAGAGGTGTATTTCATTTGGTTAAGTTTGATGCAATCATCTTTTTCACTATAAATTCCATTTTTGCTCACCTAATTAGCATCAATCTGGTTTCAGAGTCAGCGGCCTCCCAGCTGCCTTGCGCAGAACAACACGGACCTCCAGTGGCCAGCGCCCTCGCTCCTGCCGCGGGCCGGCTGCTCAGCCAGGACCCAGCCACACGCTGCTGCTACCTGCCACCCCAAATGCAGCCTGCAGCGCTGGCACCAGCAGCCTCAATTTCCCCGGACCGGCTGCATAAGCCATGCTCCCAGCAATTCAACATTTACGCATTACCATCTAGCCGAAGGTCTCCTCTTACCTACCTGCTTCTTCCCCACGTATAATAATGTGCCTGTAGGTGACATCCCAGAACAAACCTCCGAGTTATTTCAATTGCAGTGTTTCTACGTACGCCAAAAAAGTGAAAGTCCATGTTACAGGGGAGCTGTTTCTTTACAAGCGGAGGGCACGCTCGGGCCAGCACTGGGCAGGCTCCGCCTGAAACCACGTGCAAAAGCATCACGTCAGGCACATCCTTCACTGGTTTCACTGGCAACTGAAACACAACTGAGAGAACCCCCCGGTTTCAAAGTTGGGGGATGAGGGCAGCAGAAAATACATATGCCTGCGGTGGGGAAAAGCCTCTTCTTCAGGGATTCAATAAGATACTGCTTTAATGTGGGGCGGGTTAATTTTGTAATTCTTTTTCTTCTTCTCCAATATACTGAGATCCTGTGCCTTGGTAGATTTTCTTAGCTTCCAGCCAAATACTCCAGCTGAGTGCTAAGAGAAAGATTTTTCCCCCCAAATACTAGCTCTACTGCATTTAGTCTAGTTTATTATTACTGGAATATAATGCAGAGAATTACAGAAAACCTGATGACAGTTTAAGGCTCGATCCTGCTGCCCACACTGTATACCTACCTCCAAAGGACTAAGTGGGACTAGCACACCTATTTATCTAGATGGCTGGATATCAGCTTCTTATCTTGTAAGATCTTGACAGGTTAATAACCATAGGTAATACTTACCACATTTATAGTGGGCTCATCACAGCAGAATCTGAGTGCCTAGGGTGCAATACCGGACTGTAGCAGACTAAATCTTTAAATAATGCCTTTGCATTATTAAAAACCTTGATTTCATTCCAAATGCAAGATTATTAAAAAAAACCCAAGAAATTGAAGATAAAGTCCATTAAAAATATCAATACTTGTAAAAGTGCAACAGCAAATGTATCTCTGTCCCATCTTTGTCAATAAACACATTTCCTAACTTCACATTTCACTGTGCAAAATACCCTTCAAAACCTGAAAAAAAATCCTCAGGTATGAAGTCATTGATTCCAATGTCCCGCCTGAACCACCGTGTCTGCTTTACAGCAAGGCAGAGTGAAAGATACAGAATCAGTTGTAACCTTTAGCAGAACACAGTAGAATACATTAAAATAACATTCCAACAAACTCCTCATACCCTGACAGATAAGATCTTCTGCTCAGATAGAATATATTGCACATTAGCAAAACAGTAGAAGCAGCCTCCAAGAAGACAAACGACATCATTTCAGAAGTTTCAGAAAGAGTATCTTTTATCTTCATTTAAAATTCCCATTAAAAAGAGACTTTAAAAAAGAGTTGCACTATGCTCTTTTGTTTTGAAGAGACGGCATAAATCTTGTTTTCCTCTTTCATGCTGTTCATGTCAATCGTGAAAAGGCCTTATATATGAGGTACTTATTAGAATATATTTTCCTCAAAATACATGTGGGTACCATAAATACCGTGACAAAAATATTTTTTAAAAAATCATGTATTTTTAATTAGAAACATTTTCATACAAAAAAACCTCTCCAACAAGGTGGTCCTGCACAGGTTAAAAAGTTGAGATGGGAGAGGATTGGAACATTGCAACAAAATGATTATGTAAAATTCCCAAGAAATGTCAAAAGATGGCTTGCCACGATTATACAGCATAGGAAGGAATGATCTGGAGCAGATGCAGCTGAAAGGCAGATGGGGATCTGTGCTCCAGCCCTCTGTTCAGTGCAATATAGGGGGGTACACCTGGGTGGGAGGCTGGTGGGCTGTGGTCTCTTCCTCCCCATAACTTACAGTTCTGGGTCAGAGCAAAGACAAGACCATAGGCTGAACTGAAACAAAACCAATGCATCTATAAACCAACCAAAAAACCCCACCAACCCTCCCTCTCCAAGTACAGATTACCTAGGAAGGTAAAAAAGCCCCATATCCTCTAATACAGCAGAACCTCAAGAAAAACCATGTTAAATAAAGAACTGACCTTACAGATATTGACGGTAGTCACTGACCACTGCAATGCATTATCTTATGTGCTACTAGGCTGTCACTTTTTTCTATAAAGTACTTGGTATAATTTATAGAAAGGAAAAATATTTTTCCGAGCTGTCAATGAAGCTGAATGCCTACATGGCAGAAACACCTTCTGGACAGCCAATGAGTTTAAACTGATCTACATTCAAGTCCATACAGCAATTACTCTGCCAGCTTGCCTCAGCAATTATGAGAAAAGAAACAATTTTCAGAGATAACCGAAGCTGGAAAAGATGACTGTGTTCACTAGCTGCATTCCTTTATGTTTGACACAAAGCATTTATTTCTAAAATGCCCAAGGATTTAGGTGTACAAAGATGTATCACCAGGACAGTAATGAAAGGACCAAGTGTTAGCTGCAACTTTGTTCAAAGAGAAGCTAGGAGGTATTAGATACAGCAGGCATTCTGTCCCTCAAGGTCTGAATACATACACATTGAACAAAAAAAAAAAAAGCACCCTCAGCTCAGGCTTGGAGAAGGGCTATTAGTTCAGAGCTATGGTGCTCTGAACCATACCTCTGATAAAATACCACTCTCTGGGTATAACAGCAAATCTATACTAATTTACTCACTGAGTCTGCATGTTAAATACATTTAAAATAATTTGATTTTGTGTTCCTCCCACCCTCCCCCCACACCACCTTCTCACAAATAGATAATGATACTTAAAATGCAATGGTTAAAGCATAGCTTTTAATTAATATCAAGTCAGTATTTAATATAATCAGAAGATTTCACAGACAGCAGCACCAACCCTTGTTAACAGTAATTTGCAAACTGGTATTCGCAGCTGACATGGTTTATGATCAAAACAAAAAGATCAACTACCCTGCAGCTCAAAAGGGCAAAAGTTTATATAGAATCATAGAATTCTTTAGGTTAGAAAAGACTTTTAAGATCATCCAGTCCAACCATTAACCTAACACGACCATGTCCACCACTAAACCAATTAAGGGCAGAGTAATAATTGATTTCATGTTTCCTGGCTTGGTGGTTGGATTATTTTTTAATGAAAGTAGAAAACTAGAAATTATTAAGGTTGGAAAGGACCTCTAAGATCACCAGTTCAACCATCAACCCAACACTACCATGCCCACTAAACCATGTCCCAGAGTGCCACGTCTACCTGTTTTTTGAACGCCTCCAGGGATGGTGGCCCGACCACCTCTCTGGGCAGCCTGTTCCAATGCTTGACTACTCTTTCCATGAAGAAATTTTTCCTAATATCCAATCTAAACCTCCCCTGGTGCAGCTTGAGCCCATTTCCTCTTGTCCTATCGCTAGCTACATGGGAGAAGAGACCAACACCCACCTCACTACAACCTCCTTTCAGGTAGTTGTAGGGAGCGATAAGGTCTCCCCTCAGCCTCCTCTTCCCCAGGCTGAACAACCCCAGTTCCCTCAGCCGCTCCTCATAAGACCTGTGCTCCAGACCCTTCACCAGCCTTGCTGTCCTTCTCTGGACACGCTCCAGCACCTCAATGTCTTTCTTGTAGTGAGGGGCCCAAAACTGGACACAGTATTCCAGGTGCGGCCTCACCAGCGCTGAGTACAGGGGAACAATCACCTCCCTGCTCCTGCTGGCCACACTATTCCTGATACAAGCCAGGATGCTGTTGGCCCTCTTGGCCACCTGGGCACACTGCTGGCTCATGTTCAGCTGGCTGTCAACCAGCACCCCCAGGGCCTTTTCGGCCAGGCAGCTTTCCAGCCACTCTTCCCCAAGCATATATGGTATGTAGCAATGAAAAGATCTTAATACTTTGTTTTCCCTTTTGAGTGCAAGTCTGAAAAGGCTTTTTCATTGAACAGTTTCAAAATAAAAAGGTGATGCCTGTCAAAGACAGATTCCGGGAGTTTCTCAGACCAATTTCCTACAGTCAGCTCAGCATATGAAGCACACTCAGTAGGGGTATATCTCCACACTGTCCTGTCTGAAGGAACCCTCTTTGGAACAACCATCCTGAGTGTTCATGTCACACTAGCTTAGCTCCACATCCAAGGCAAGGTCCACCTTTTCCCTTGTTAATTCATTTCAGGACTGAGACTCCAGCACTGTTACCTGAGCAGACACCTAAAACTGGCCAACGCACCTTGGCAAACAATCCCTAGAGTAGCTCTCACAAGGAATAATGCCTTCTCCTTAGGTGTCCATCAGTGAAGATTTTACTCACACTGTCAATCCCGTTAAGCCCTACCATTGTCATATTTAGGGCTAAATATAAGACTAATCAATCTCTTTTGCAAGCACTCCCTGATCAGATATCTCTGAGAAAGCATCACCTAAAGACCGTTATTTGTGACCAGTCTTTGATAAAACCAGGGTTTTTTGTTAATACTAGAGGGTAGTTTTCTGCCCTTCTGCAGTTCTTGCTACACTTCTAACACAGAGGATTAGTATGAGTTGCCACAGAGCAGTATGATGTGGAAAAACTATCCTACACCCCACCAACCTCTGAAGTTGCACAAAACAAATTGTCATCTTTAGCAGAGCCCTCAAGCTAGTGCAAGGGCTGAACTTGATTCAGGCCCTTTCTCCCAGAAGCAGACTATGCTGCATTTCCAGCGAGACCTAGAATATCGTAGACCACAATCTCTGAAGAGTGACTGCTTGTGCTGTTTTTGTACCTGGGACTATAAAGGAAACATTTTTAACAGAAGGCCTTTATTTCAGATTCCAAGTCCAAACTTCAGATGAAGTTGGATAAGTCTGCATGTGCAAGTAAGAACACATCTTGCTGCCTTTATTCACATGATAAACCCTTTTGAGATTAAACAGATGTAGGCAATACACGTTCATTACATGTACAACAGCCACAGGATCCAAACTCCATTTCTGGATGCTTTGCCAAACCTGAAAGCCTTTTGAAGCATGCAAAACAACAAACAATACACTTATCAGCAAGTCTGATCTTGCAGGAAGAGCAGATACATTGAAAGGAAAGACAAAACATCAATGACTAATGCCATAACACAGTCTACATACATAAACATTACATAATAAACATACACATATAGGTACATTTTCAGTTTTTCAATACTAGTCATTTCAGTTTCAGACCTGAAAATAAAAGAAATGGCTTACCCAGAGCGGCGCTTTCCTCCTCTGGAAGGCATGGATCCTGCCATTCTCACTTGTCCACTTGCCATTGGTGCCACCGGCAAGGCCACCGAGCCAGGAATATCTGATGCCATTTCTGTAATGCAGAGGTAGGGGAAGGGGGGGGAGAAAATCCTTTAATCCATTACCTTCAAGGAGAAACCTGTGATGACAACATTAGAGAAAGGCCCTTTCAAAAAAAAGCAGAGAAAGCTTTCCTTTTTATTTCTAAGGAAAAGCAAAGCTCTCCTATGAAAGACCAGCAGATTCACAGCTCCCTTAAAAGAAGCCCAGTTCTCTCAATATCCATTGCGAGTGCCTCAGGAGACAATCGCAGGTAGGTACCTCTGTATTTCAATTTACCTAATGGTTCTCATTTTACTTTTCAGAGGGGCTGTTAGATGAAGGCCAACAACCTTTTACAGTAGTTAAACTGCCCTGTAGAGAAATGCAGAGCTGAATTCCCAAGACAAATGATCATGGTACCAGCGTACCAAGAAAAATAGAACTTCAAAAACTTCTCAGTTTGCCAGTGAGGTCAAGAGTTTAGAGCAGGGTTGAATTATGAGGTGACATTGCTTTTTATTATTTATATTCTGATGGCATTCAGAGGACCAGACTGAACTTAGCAGAGCTCCAAGGCATCCTGTATTTCTGCGTGGTGCCTTGCAGGATGGAACCGAGCCCAAAATCCAGGCTGATATTCACCCCTCTGCCAGCTCTCTAGATACAGCCCTGTACAGGTTAATGAGATCTTCAAATCTCAAAACTTTGACCTGAGGAACAGCAAGAGCACACCCTACGCAACGTTTTTCAGACCGCTAATGACAACTACTTTTACAACCTATTAGTAGCAGCTCATTACACTTCAAAAAAAAAAAGTGGAATATAATGTATTTATACCCTTTTCTCCTATCCCATGGATTAACCATGTTTTGCCTCTGTGCAACTCTTGTAAACTATGTAAGCAATTAGAACTTCTTTAATGCAGATATACTTTACTCACTCTGGAAGCAAAATCTACAGTCACAACATTTAATTATCTTGAAAGAAAATGCATCTTCCTTCCAACTTTTTTTTTTTTTAAACTTGGTGGAGTATCTGGAGCTACAGATAAATATATTTACTCATGGAAAGCAAATCTGTTAAAAAATCCTGCTATTTTTTCCCAACAGATAAGTACAAAAGAACTTCACTTATGGAAACGGGAATCCATGTTCTTTCATTATGTCTGGAGAGCACTTCATCACTGCCACACTTTATATGAATCCATTATGCAACATTATGCATTGCAAATAATAACATTTTATCTGTTCACTGATTTCATTAATTTATTCTAGTACATTTACTTTTATTAACTCCTTTTCAACTAAAAAGCAGCAGAGCAAAGTACTCATCCAATATTTTTCAAAGTGTGCAAGGACAAACAATGAGACCTCTGCCTACACCACCACACCACAGAAAGTCCCACTGTGTCTAAAGCTGCTGCTATGTGGAAACACTACATTACTGTATATTAGCATATCTCCATACAAATAAAAGCATGAGCATCCAAACAACTGGTAAATCCCTACTTCCAGAATAAGTACCCTTAGCAGTCTAATGCCAATAATTCACTTGGAACATTCAAACTCACATTTCATGGATAGAACCGAAGGTAATTTTGAAATGCTCTGCTCACTCATTTATTAAAGCAGATGGTAAAAACCACAATAAATCTACCTGAAAAGTGTCCCTGTCACTCAGAAACACATTTCGGTATACATCATATACATCATAGATTTTTTTAAAAATAGTAATTGGAAAATAATTTCAGATCAACTCTGAGCAGTATTTTAAGAGAGTAAAAACAATACTGTATTTGTAATTGTGATGAGAAATTCTTGTAACCTCATTTTCCTCAATCTAAAACAAAGATGATGAAAACCAGACCAAGGGTTGGATTCATCCACTCTTAAACGCCTAAAAGCCAAAGCTAAATATTTAAGGTAACTTTATAGATCTCTAAAAGGGAAACAAAGCACCATTCTTGCACTACCATGCACCCCATGCTTAGAGGTGCATCCAAAACAGATTGAGTAAACCTCTTCCTATAGGTCCCTTGCTCTCACCACTGACAACTCGGGGAGACCCAGACATAGTTTTGATCAGATGCCCAATTTAGCTGGTTGTGGCTAGGCAGAATGAGCTGGTTTTCTACTTCTATGTTCAGCCTTTAATGTATGAAGACATGAGAGGCAAGGGTGGTTAGCAACTGTCAAGTAGTAATGAAAAACAGAAAATGTATTTTTTATAAGAAAAAAGATTAAAAAAAAAAAAGACTAGAGGAATAGCCAAACCTGACCTGAATCAACTGCTGAAAAGAATTCATGACAAAACCAGAGGCTCAGTTATATCAGCGCCAAAAAACACCTGAAAGAAAACTTTCTGCAACAAACAGATCATCTGTCTATCAGGGTCCAAGCTGCAGAGTTACTGTGTAGGTATCCTGAAACTCTAGAATGGCACATCAAAAACAGTGCAATGAGGAAAGTAACTGCTTTCACAAAACAGCCTTCAAATATGTCTTCACAGTCCTGGGAGAAGAAAACCAAGCTCACTGAGCTGACCACTCTAAAAGGATGGCTTTAAAAATTTCCATTTCCAAGATATAAGCGCAAGAAGGGGGCATGGGAGAGTGGGGGAATCGGGGGATCCACACGCATTAATCCATGTGAAAGCTCAACTAAGAGGGAGAAAAACTTCAGGCCCTTCAAATCAGAAAACCTTCCATTATGCAACAGTCTGAAGGTATGACAGACCTGCACATACATCAATGTCTAAGACACCCAATTTACCTTTCCATTTCAGAGTTTCCCATGTCAAAGAGACACCAGCCACTGTGTGACCTCTTGCAGCTTTCGTAAGACCCTCGAGGGTGGACACACACCGCTAACAAAAGCAGTCGGCTTTCCAAGATTTCTTTCCTGACACAACAGAATTACGAGTTCTGCAGATGGAGAAACCAGGAGGGTTGAGTCTCTTTCGAGCCACATAGCAAACACAGCGAAGAAAGCAACTCAAGGGCAACACCACCATGGAGCACCCAGCACCTGACCGGCCGCAGCGAGAGCAGCCAGAGCAGCAGCGGAGCACCCGACAGAGTCTGGGCGTACAAACAGTGACACCAGAGCACTGCAGGGGGACTTCAGGGACAGAGCTGACAAAGTCACCCTGGCCAGCTGCAGCCAGCTGCGTGCTGGAAGCTGTTCCAAAGTTGGACAGTTGCACAGAAATATAAGCACTAGATCGTGGCTGTAAAAACTCTACTCACAAACGGAGCAGCTCCCTGCCGCAGGCTGCAAGAACTTCTGGGGAGACGATGGAATGGATCTGAGCTGCTTCCCAAATTACTTCCATCTCTGCTCATCCGCAAGCATCTAAAAGGACCAGATCTTTGATGATAATTTTACATGTATAAAAAAGGGCCGGTCAGAAAAGTAGAAACATGTTATCTCAAAAAATGAGGTCTAATCTGGGAAGGCAGAGCCGGAAGAAAAATCTGATGGAACAGTCAGCTGCTTCTCTGACTAAGCCCTGAGACGTTACCTGTCTGTGCATGCTACAGGAAGAAAACAAGAGAGACAGAGGAAAAAAGACACCCATAGACTGGAATCTCAGATAGAAATATTGTGGTACAGAGGTACTCTGGGGAGCCTATTACCAGTTTAAAAAAAAAAAAAAAAAGGAGAAAAAAAAAAAAAAGAGGAGTGTGCATCGACAGAGAGTGCCCGTGGGGAGCTTTTACCAGTTTAAAAAAAAAAAAAAAAAAAAAAAAAAAAAAAAAAGAGGAGTGTGCATCAGACACAGACCTAAAGAAAAAAAATACATAAAAAATCAGAAGGGTGACCTGCAATTGTGTGAAGTTCCACCAACATAAATTTAGGGCAGCCCCCTGAAAAGTAAATGAAGCTATTCTGTTGTAGCATAAACTACCACGAAAGCCCAGCACTGCAGAAGCAGCTGTCAAGCTGGTTATATATATTTTAAAAAAAAAAAAAAAAAGGACATGCTGGGTCAACAATCATAAAGATCATGTTTCCAGGCTCATCTACACCCACGTCCAGACACATGGTAACACTGATGTTCACAGAAGTGTTTTAGCAGCAATAAACATTAGGAAACAAACTGTTCTCTTTCTGAGATTGAACCTTCTGAGAGTGGACTTTCCTTCTGCCAACAGAAAAAAAACAAGTGTTGCTTACTTTACCCAAAATTAAATCATGAACATAAGGGTATAATGCTCAGAAAGTAAAGCAAGGTCAGGCTGAATGTTCATGATAATCATCTATAACCATCAAGGGAATGTTCCGAAAAAAAAAAAAAAATTATTTAAATGAAGTTCCTTAGTGTCAAGTAGAAATCACTTTTGGGCTACAAAAATGCACATAAGTATTTAATTTCAAAGTTAGAAAGTTACCTAGAGATGTGCCAAAGAACGCAGACATGCTATTAAAACAAAACCCAGCACAACACTCACAATCTTCAGTGGACATTCTTCCAGTTAGACGACACCTAACAGCTCTTGTCTCACTGCTGTCACGCCTGGGCACAGGTCTGATCCTGCCACTAATACCCATGTTCATCTTGGGGATCCCTGAGGAGCCACATTAATCCAGGGACAATGTCAGTGCTCAATGTAAAAGCAGCAGAATTAGTCACTCCATTTCTGTCCAGAATTAATTTCTCTGCTGAATGCTCCAAGCTTGGATATTACACTTTCCTCCAGCACCACATGTAGGTCACCCCCAAAATATTCAGGAATCTTTTTGAAACAAAAGACAATCCGCAAAGGTACATTAAAAATATAGGGATAAAATACAGGGATTTATTCCCAATAAATTCCACGTTCATCTCAAACTTTGTTACAGAGTTCCGTACAGAAAACAGCTACCGTGCACTTCACAAAGCAAAACGCAAAAACCAAGCTAACGGCTACACAAGGATACCTTGAAAGTGCACCTGAACCACAATCACAGCAAGAATTACTGGACAGTGCAATATGCCAGGATGAACTTGGACTTCTCTTTTTAGGCAGAGAATTATGAAACCATGG